AGACGAAAAATTATCCATGATGTCTTCCTTGAAAGAATAATTTGATTGATGATTGCTTGACGACTCCTTTTGATACTCGTTCGCCTTCTACACACAGAAGTACTTCTTTATTTTTTTCCAACTACATCAATTCTCTCAACGAAAAATTTTCCTTCTTCTACCTACGCCAAGAGTATTGCCGCCCATTTGCTCGAGCAAAATAACATATCATATTACAATCCTACTCTCCACGTCAGAGGAAAAACAACAAAAATTTAATGAGACTCACATGGTACTCCGTCCCAAATTACTAAGAAATCTCGAGAGGTGATCTTGGAATATGGCTCCTGAATTGCATTTATTACCCTTCACATAGATGCTAACTTAGCGCCAAGTCATCAAGCATTTAAAATGAGACTTCGTTGTAGTACTTGATCTTCTGACATTTTTAAAGCTAGAGAGTACCCATTTTGAAGATAATGAAGTTCTTCTTCATGTAAAAGTGAGATTTCACTAACAGTACTTGACCCTTGCTTTTGTAAAGACCCCCTAACACACTTACTTTCTACCTACCAAACACACTGAATATTAACATGACAACTAGAGATACAACTACATCTTTATCTTGAGTAACCTCTATTTTAATTTTAGCCAACTAGAGATCATTATTATTTTCACAAAGCTATCATCAAAATGATAATCTTAAATTGTTACCAATAAAATGATCAAAAATTGAGAAAAAAACACTACAAGAGTCTTATATTGAGTATTGTTTATAATATCATGTCATTTTTACTTAGTTTTGATAATGTTTGATAATCACACATACAATTTCATACAAATACATTTTTTGAATTTTTATTATCATTTTTTTATCACAAAATTTATCCAATTTTGTGGAAGTTAATACATTTTGTCAATGTCAATAAGATGAAATCATTTTTTACCTTATTATTATTTTTCTTTCCAAAAAATATTTCTATAAAAAAATCAAGAGCTTAAACATGTTATCATCTTATTTTCAATAACTGGTAGTGAACATAAAAGGTATATATATGCTTAAACATGCAATTTAATAAAAAATCTATTACTATTTTGCAATATAAACATTTTGTAGAGATATTACCATATAAAAAATGTAAAAATTAAGCTAAAGATTATGTATAACAAAAAAAAGTAAGATTCTTTGTATTGCACATGAATTTCAATATATTTATTTGTATATTTACATCATTTTATATTAGAAATTTAACTACATGAATATATGGGCATTACAATCATCGACTAATCAAATAGGTTTGTACAAATCAATAAAAAAACTTACATGATGTATATTTGTAAGACATTTCAACTGAATATACATATTTATATACTAATTTTCATACTGTTTGATTATCATTTTAAAAATATAACATAAAATAAATTTAAATTTAAAAAATATTATTTTTGTAAAAAAATATAAGATAATTAATTTAATACTTGATGATTATTACCTTTTCATAATTTTTGATAACTCTAAAAAATATATATATTTGATGCTATTTGTGATCAATTTTACCATTAATTTTATTTTTTCGCATGCATATTTCAAAAGAATACAAAATTTTTTGTTTAAAAAAATCAAGATATTTTTTATAAATATATTATAATCGATTAAAAAATTAATTCATAATAAAATTGCATAAAAAACATTGAATAAAATATTTGTGATCTATTCAATAACATATAAAATATAAAAATATGTCTTGATATTTATTTTGTGTAAATCTATATGACTTATTAACTAAAAAATTTATGATTTTTGATTGATTTTATATTTATTGAACATAAATTTTTTTTTGATAAAAAAATTTTCCAACCATATATTTAATCCTCATATATGATTTAATTCAAATTTTTAATCAAGAAATGTATTTTTTTAAAATTCATAAATATGACAAAGAATATAAAATTTGCTCCAAGAAAATTACTGAGTGTTTGCATGACTAAAATCTTTAATATATCTTTGTTTCAAAATATCAAACATTGCAATTTAGCAAAAAATATAGGTATGTTTTGGTTGAAATTTAATTCTTATACAATCTCCTGCACTAAAATCATGTAGACTTTGAAATATATTACAATTTTTTATGTAACATAGATCGTACATAAGTCAGTTTGACCTATTCATCAAGTAAAAAAAAATTAAGGAATGAAAAGTCAAAGAATTTATATCATTTGAGGAAATAATCTTAAAAAAACAATGAAATCCTAATTGTTGTTTTAAAAGATCTCAAAAATTTGAACTTAGATAACAATGGAACAAAAATTGGGAATTATTGCTTTTCAACTATTGGCAACATAACCCATAATGTATGAAAAACTAGTAGGGTCATTGTGAGTTCAAAATGATGCTCACATGTACTTTTTAATATTATAAAGGTTAAATTTTTTTGATTTAAGTTCCTTAGAACTTATGTTTTGTGAAGATTTTGGCAAACTTATGTGTTAGAGCACTTGCAAGGAAAGTAGGAAGCAAGTTAGGATGAACTGTATTGGTGAGCCAGTGATTACCAAGAGTAGAGAATGTGCTAAATGAATTAAATATCAGTGCTAAGCTACCCCTGGAATTACACCATCTATGGGTTAAAGTATTATGCTGACAGCCATCTAAAGTTAATGATATTCTAGTCCTTCATCTAATGTATATAATCTAATCTTAAACAACAGAAATTAGAATAACAAAAAGAACAAATAATATCCTACATGAATGAAATCAAAAGTGTAACATGGGGCAGTCTACTACTAATGAGTCATACACGTGAGTATTGACGAAGCTATTTTTTTGGGTACTGATTTACTCTAGGATCTGAAAAATCAGAAACAAGTACCACTAGTACACCACTTGTCTCCAAATCCGGACCTTTCTTTCCATGCAATTAAATATGACATGCAATTCAATGGATGCAAAAAAACATTCTGCATCTTGCGAATTTGTGAATCCAAACAAAAGTATACTCATAAGTGATCAGCGGAAGGAACTGTGTACTTTACAGAAACATGAACATGTTGGCCAATGGCGAGAAAATAATGAAGTCACACAACTCGTCATACCGTTAGTTCTCTCCATGTTGGTCCAAAGAAGGACAAACTGACTACGGAGCATGGCCCCCATGGCACGCATGGCATGGTAGGTCGAATTTCTGGCCTATGAGACCCCAAAAAACATGGGCCGTCGATGCAACATGGCGCATCCAACGACGGAACAGTCGAATGCTTGCGTATAGGCCAAGTGTGGGGAAGGAAGAAAGACATCAGAATGTACAAAATTAAATACGTACGTCTCCATTGACGACGACGACGACACATCCGCACGATGAGAATCCGACGGATAAGGTTTCTCCACAATCAGGTCACGTTAGGAATATCGAACCCCGAAGACCACAGAGGATGAGACTGGATTTGTCCTACGTGACTCTTTCTGAGCGGTCCGATTCAAGATCTAACGGATGGCAGAGCTCAGGAGATCTTGCGTGAAGCCCTCGTAATAAGGAGAGCGCACGGAAGGACGACGAGGGGGTTGGGAGAGACGGTAGGGGTGGTGGCGTCGAACGATCCACGCAAACGCCGGCGCCAGCGAGCGAGAGCACCGGGAGGCGGGATCACAAAGTCCGTTACGTGCAGACAACGAACGCCACGCCTTCGAGAAAAGTCCACCCTCGGGTGGCAACGTTCTTCTCTGCCCCCTTCTAGTCTCTCTCTCTCTTCCTCCCGGGCAACGCAGTTCTACCCGCGACGTCTGGACGGACGTCTTAACGTCCGTCCGTTCGTCCGTCCATGAGATACATGAATGGACATTTCCTCTTCGGGCCCGAAGTCAGACAGACCTTAAGCTAGATTCACCGTAGGGCCTGACCTCGTGGATGGATGCATAGACGTTTGGATGGATAAATGGGATGTTGGATGGCCGGTGGATTGACACGTGAACGAACATCTCTTGCCTGCTGTGATTTTTTGGACCCTGCCCGAATTGAAGGTTTGTCCGGCGCCAGTGCAATTGTACTGGGATGGGACAAAATGGGAGAAATACCGCCGTACATACTAATCAGTGATTAGTATGTAGTAAATGAAGGGTTAGTGATTAGTAATCACTAAGCGAGGGGCAGAGAAGGTGCTGTGATTAGAGTCATCCTCAGAGTCGATTGTTTCGAAATTGACGGTCTCTGAACGGGCCACGTTGTCTGCACATCGACACTATTTCAGCGCAGGAACGGGAAGTGTGGACGCCACCGGATCGAAGGAAGGCACTGGAATAGCGCGGAATAGAAACCCATGGTGGTTATCGCGTTATTATGAAAGTGATTAAGTCTAGGATTAATCTCAAAGCTTGAGGTAAACCCCAATTTTCCCCGTCAGCTGTACCATTGAAACTAATAAGAGATGGATAGCAGACACACGCGCAATCGTCTTAGTTCTATATAAACAGCTTAATTATTTTCATTCAATTATATTTATGTAATTAAAGTTTAATATCCAATATTATTTAATCCAATTTAATTTAATATTCATGGTATTGAAAATTAATTCATGAAAAGATATAAATTTGTTTAATATTCGAATATTGATCAGAGAAATGCGTGTGTATTATAAATCTGACACTGTAAAAGAATAAATTATTGGTTTTATTAAGTCTTACTGAACATCCAGAAAAAACAGCGAAGAAGGCAGCGGAATATAACCAAGATGTGATTTTTAATTTTATTTTTTAAATGATAATTTTCGAGTGCACGAGATGTTCCGTCTTGACAAAATACACGAGGAAGAGAGTTTGACCGGACACGGGTGCCGGCGGCTGGAAACGCGGAATTCCGACCTGAAGCGGCGGCGGCCGGGCAGAATATGTGTGACCGCAATTCGGGGCGGCCTGTTTCGTTCTGGGCCGTAAACGGGACGTCGGCTCTGCCTGAGGTTCTCGTAGGCCGGAATCCCTCGAGACCGGAAAATATCCACGGCCGTGGTGGTGCAGATATTTGCGTCAGGGGAGTGGACAACGAGGTCCGATTCGGGCCGCGAGATGGGGGTCGTATAAATCGGGCACTCTGTTCGCCCGCAATCGCTGCAGAAGGCGAGGAAGAATCAGAGGCCCGAGCAATCGAGCAACGACGATCTGCAGCGAAGAAGCGGACGATCGATTCTCGAATTGGAGCGCGCGAGATTCGCGATGGCCGGCTTGGCAGAGTCGTTGGTGGGCTCGTCGTCGTCGCTCGGAGGATTGTGCCGTGTACAGAAATTGGAAGAGTTCAGAGATTCGAGACTCGGATGCGCGAAATTCGGTGATAATGCAGGCCCCGGGTGTAGCTCGAGGAAAGGAGTCAGAGACTTTAGAATCAGGAACGCCATCGGTAATGGGGGTGACGGGAATTCTAGGATGGTACCCATCGAAGAAGCTATCAAGCGCACGGCGAGAACCAGCAGCTTTGTCAGCTCCAGCAGCTCGTCCGCAAACGGTGAGCGGAAACATATAAATTAAGTTCTGAATTATCAAAATTCTGTCACTAAATTCATTCTTCACTCATTCTTATTATACCAGAGAAAGAGCATAAAGGTGGGACTTAGCACGGCATCCTCACAGCCGGCCGAGTTCGGAGAACGTGTGAGGGAATGTTGTAGCGCTTTAGCCTTAAATGAATTCCTATCGGTTGTTTCTTCATGCCTTAAAACTACATGTTCAATTTATTAGATACTTTCATTTCAATTTCAAATTCAACTATCTTATGTAATTTCGCAAATTCTTCGGGTTGCTGTCCATCTGGCTTTTACAAAGCAGACAGTTCCGTGATGGAGCTGGTTCTGTCAGGTAAGCCCCTGTTGAGCTTTACGTTATTGGTGAAGATCAGAATTGCGAATTTCGGAATCATCAGAGTGTGTCAGTAGAGCTGTAGCCTATTCTAGTGAAATGTTGCTCTGCACTCTTTACTTCTGGTTTGAATGGGCAATTATCTGACCCGCATGGCCGTTTCATGTTCGCGAGACTTCTCATCTCGATGATCACGTGTGATACTTGTGGGATGGTCAAATTCCGGGCCCATGTGGACGAATTTTGGAAGACGGTAGTTTGCAATTTGGAATTTCAAGATGTCGGAGAGTTGTTTTTGACGTAGACACTTCAGCTCCGTGCGCACTGAATTGAAATCCAGAATCAGCCTCGAAATTTTCACTCTGACTTTTCTGACTAGGAACCAGAGTCTTTGGCGTTTTTATCAACCGATTTTGGTCACACGTACTGTTTCACATGATTGAACAGTCGGTGCTGCTTTCTTATGCCAATCGAGAGGGAAACCCTCTGAACGGCACCCTTCTCTTCTCGTAGGAGCTTCATGTAGTGTATGGAGGGAACTCGTAGAATGTGTACGCGGAAGCTCAATATTGTTCAAACTTTCCCCGATCCAGCTTCACCTGCGATTCTCAGGGTCAGTGTTCTTCAGGGCTGGAAGTTGAGCATTCCAGTTCTCGCCAGATTTTAAGCTGCGACGGTGGCAACGAAATCATCCGGGAGAAGGACAAAATGACGTGAGACGTGATCTGTCTGCAGCACAAGATCCAGAACTCATCGTGGACTTGTTGTTTTTCCAGAGACTAATGCCTGTTCGTGTGCATGTGCAGGCTTACCCTTATCAGCACTAAATGGAGTGGAAAAGAGTAGAAAAGAGAAATTTAGGGAGACTCTACTGCCAGACAGGCCTGGCCCCGACGCCTTCAGCGTACAGTCCAGCAGACCCTCAGCCGGAAACGGTGCAGCAAATGTTACTACTCGAAGAGCAGCAGCTAATGGAGCTGTCTTACTTCGCGAAACTGACTCACCTGCAGAGCGATTGAACGGGAGAAGCACCACGGCAATCACTCAAGTCCCAAGCAGAACTAGAATTACGAGGCGGCCTCCTGTAGAGCTGCCTGTGATCGATTCAGACTTGCGAATCCTACCATCTGATGAAGGCTTTAGCTGGGCCAAGGATAATTACAGTCCTGTACAGAGGACCATCGATATCTGGAGCTTTGTTCTCCAGCTGAGAGCCCGAGTTTTTCTGCTCGACGCCAAGTGGACCTACATCGGTGGTTTCAATGAGGAGAGACAGGTGAGTGGCACTCTGTTCATTGCTACTGGCAGGAAAAAATTGACAAGGCAAAAAACATATGAATTTTTCGTTCCTTTTAATCAAGAAGGTCTAGATCTATTTTAGAAGGAAACTGTATTTGTTGTGGTTCATAAATCGTCACGTAGACTTCGTCCTCTTTACCTACAGTCATTGAACCCCATTGACCGTAGTCGGGTTTCTGCAGAAAGCAAGGAGACGAGCAACAGCGTCGTGGGTGCGAGAATGTATCTTACAGCTTGGGCCCACATTTATTAAACTTGGCCAGCTCTCATCAACGAGATCTGATCTTTTCCCCGCCGAATTTGTGGAGGAACTCGCTAAACTACAGGTGAGTGACCAAAATGGCTCTGACCTCTGCTTTCTTGAGGTGTCTGATATGCACAGTTTGATAGCTTCTGAACATTCACTCATTCATGGATGCTGATTACACCATATACATCTGTTTCAGTGTGAGCCGTTCGTCTAGTATAGTTCCTCCCATGTATTTCCATCAGGTAAGGATGTAAATCATGACTCATTTACTACCAGAGGTTGGGCATGGCAGCAAGTATATCAGATGTGGTAGTACCTGGTTATGTTCGGGGGGCATCGGTCCATTGTCTGATGGCTAACAAAGCACTCCAGTCTATGGACTTAGTGGAAATCGACCTTGTAATTGAATCTTAATGTAAAGGAAAATATCTCTGACGTACACAGGGCCATGGAATTCATGATCCTCCACAACAAGATTTTGATTTAATATCCTATGTCTTCAACTTGGAGCCAAACGAAACGTCTTAGGTTTCTTTAGGTCAGCATCGAGGTTTCTCCTAGCAGATGGCAATCTCTTTCTGGACTCTTGATCCCAAGTAAAGGTTGGACTGTCTGAGTGGCGTTTATGAGTTGCTCAATTCTTGTTTCCTTTCAAGAAAGTTGACTGAAACCAGGATTAACCTTGGCTGTCATACATGGCTGCGAGGTGAAGATTTCTAACGCCGCAAGTGTCCAGATCCTGCTAAGAAGGGTTTAGGTTGCTAAGAAGTGCGAACATGTGGTAATGCAGGATCGAGTTCCAGCATTTTCACCAGAGAAGGCGATGGCTCTTATAGAGAAGGAGTTGGGTTCCCCGGTTGATGAACTTTTTATGCAATTTGAGAGACAACCGATCGCAGCTGCCAGCCTTGGACAGGTTTGTCCTTTCATCCTTGTCTAGCAAGCAATTTACTAAAACTTCCTCCACTATCTGAAGACGTGAAGATGCGAGCTGTAGGCCATAGTGAGTAATTTTTGCTCTAGGATGTTTTCTGTCATCTGCCAAGAAGAAACTGTCTCTTGAGAGAACCTTGTATAGAATCATCATCAGAGTTTAGAGCGTGGACTAGAATAATAGTCTAACTGTGATCATCATTTTATTGTCTTGTGGGTTCTTTACTTGTCCCATAAAGTTTCTGTCCAAGAATTGGAGTCGGGTGCCAATACGGTTCTATTTCCAAAAAGGGAAAATAAGGGATGCCAGAAGGAGAACTTGAAGAGAAATGATCAAGCTTGAATGTAAACCTATGCTTCTCTCACTAAAGACTAAGTTTAGTACGCATTCGCCCCTCCACTGACAGGTACACAGGGCTATACTGTTTAATGGAGAGAAAGTTGCTGTAAAAGTTCAGAGACCTGGACTGAAGGAGCTGTTCGATATTGATCTCGGTAAGTGAGGCCACTGCCCACCCTCAAATACAATAAGAAAGCTGAGAATGCTCTTTGGGTGGAGATTTGACCTGCGAAGGATTTGGTCTGAAGGTTGAACACAGTGTAATGGATACATGAACCGAGAATCACAATTCGTCGGCTGGGATCCTCTAACACCTTGCCTGGTGCTGGTTGATGCTGTGCAGATAATTTGAAACGAATAGCAGAATACTTTCAGAATAGCGAATCGATGGGTGGACCTACTCGCGATTGGCTTGGGATATACGAGGAATGCAAAACGTAAGCTCGAATCTAGAGACTCCCATTTCCGTTTAGCTGGGAAATACTTGCGTCGTATAATGGGGTCTTTCTGTGAAGGCTTTGTGTCCAGGTCAATGCGGACCTAGATAAGTAAACCACATCACTGACCCACAATACAACCATGTCTATTCAAGTTCCGGATAACGTGAAGTGCGCTCAGATGAGTATGTGAGTAGTACTCACAAGCTGAAAATAACGATGTTCATCATGTGGTGTACTTCTTTCACGAAACCAAATGTAAATTTTCTTGAATGCAGAATATTGTACGAGGAGATCGATTACCTCAATGAAGGAAGAAATGCCGACAGGTTTAGGAGAGACTTTAGAAACATAAAATGGGCTCGTGTTCCGGTAAGTTCGTCGCTGCGGGCTGAGTGTTTCTGTTCAATTCCGACAAAACCCCCGTCGATCAGTGTCTTGAAATTTCTTCCGCATTACTGCCTGTAACTTACTCACGGAGTGGAATGTGATGGCAGCAAATTTACTGGGACTATGCTTCACGAAAGGTCTTGACCCTAGAGTATGTTCCAGGTAATGTGTTGCTACTCTGCTTCCTATAGAAGTTGCTTATTTGGTTCTTCTACATTTCCTAGCGTTAAGTTTCTTTGACCATTTTAATCTTTGAGCATAAGAACAAACCTCGCCGTAAATTGATGTGCGCACTGGGTCTCTTCCTGAAAAATGTAAAGAACAGCTAGCGCCATGTTGCTTAGAGAGTCATTGCTGTGACGTACTTGCTCGAAGTAAACCATGAAGGTCGATTGTTCTGTATCTCTTACTCTGAGAATTCAAATGGATCCTGAAATTTAACATTAGTTCTAAACCTTTCTTATCGACGCTGAAACATGCATCTCTTAAGTTGTGGAAAGAGTACTAATGTATTGGTACAACCACGATCTCAGGTATCAAGATAAATGAAGTGGCCAAGCTTGATGCCGGTGGTTTTGACAGACGACGAATTGCTCGTCTAGCTATAGAGGCCTACCTTATACAAGTAAGTCATGGTGTCTATTCTATGTACTGTCCCCGCAAAGCCGATGTTACATCTTTTGGATTGTAGATACTTTACTATGAGTCTAATCATGTCCAATGATTGATTTTCAAAACACAACGTTCGAGGTATACTGTCAAAAACTGATTACGAAACTCAAGCAATAGACTCTACCTGTACACGACCCTGTAAATTGTATATGGAAAACTTCAGTTATCGCACAGATAGAGCCACTTCGAGGCTATTGTTGTAGACTACAATTTCTGCATAGAACTGCAAGATCATCTGTGTTATCTACATGGAAAGACTACTGTCTTTCCCTGTCCATCCTGTCAATCAAATATCATCAAGTAACCTCAAGTATCTATCATGTAACCGCAGATCCTGAAGACTGGTTTCTTCCATGCCGATCCACATCCCGGAAATCTAGCTGTCGATACGGATGGTTCTCTTATTTACTACGATTTCGGGATGATGGGTGACATCAAGTCTTTCACAAGGGAGAAGCTACTGGAGATGTTTTACGCAGTCTACGAGAAAGATGCCCAAAAGGTGCGTTTTAGAACATTGTTGCAAAGTCCGCATGTGACGTGAGTACTTCTGAGTCAAAGGTCGCTAAGGTTTATTTGCGTATGCCTTCTGCAGGTTATCAACGCCTTGATAGATTTGGGGGCTTTACTACCAACTGGAGACATGGGACCTGTAAGTGTCATGAGACTCCCTCTAAAAGAGCAATTTTTCAAGCAGCCTCGTGCTTTCGAATTCATGACTTCAAGCCTCACGTTGAACCTCATATCCTTCAGTAGATCCTCGTTCATGTCATGCTACTTGCCTTTCTCCTACTTTAAATGCCTCATTTGTTGGTATTCCTGTCAGTAAAGACGGTCCCGTCCTGAAGCTGATGCTATGTTCTCGGTCTTATAGGTGCGGAAGACGGTGAAGTTCTTCCTCGATAACTTGATGAACCAAAAACCTGATCAGGCTAGCACATTCTCAGCTATCGGCGAGGTGAGCTGTTTTTAGAATCAGTCCTTCATCTGCAGTAGTTCGCTAATTATTTTCCGATGACGTTGCTAATGCCGAAGGTTGCATCATGCAGGATCTGTTTGCCATTGCAATCGACCAACCTTTCCGCTTTCCTGCCACCTTCACGTTCGTTCTGCGTGCCTTTTCTACATTAGAAGGTGAAGAGGCTCTTCTCTCTAGTTGGAAAAACCAGTGTCTCCCGTCTTTTGAATATTTGTACATTGAAGATCCCAAATCAATGTTTTCATTTGTGCCAAGCAGAGCACCACTTGCTGTCTACTTTGCTCAGCGGGGTCCCGAGAAGGCTAAGTTTAGAGCCTCAAGAACCTACCGTAGGTTTTGTAGCATTTGTGTTGACCATGACATAACGTGGAGAACAAGCTGTTCGGCAGCGAATCTCTCGTCAGTAAGTTCGCCAGTTCGTTCTTCAAACTCGTGGATTAGAGACTTACTTTGTTTTCTGTGTGCAGGCATAGGAACCATTCTTGATCCAGACTTGTCCTTTGCGAAGATTGCTGCACCTTATGCACAGGTAATCTAGCATCAAAGTTCCAGTCAGTTCTCATCCCAGGAAGCGCCAAATCTGCAAGCAGAAAAATTGGGTCATGGACCAGATGAATGTTCCTGTGGTAGCCCGGAAAGAAAACTACTATCTTTCCAGTTTGAGAAGGTTGACCACATTCGTCTGCAGCGTACAGCAGAAGTACCGCAATTATTATATTGTAGTTAAGCTACCCAAGAGCCAGTGCATCACGTGGGATTATAACCTGCAAGAACTAGAGAATTGTGAAGATTGACCTCGCTCTAACAACCTGCTAGCAGAAACATGAAGAGCCTGTCAGTTCAAAAGATGGATGTAACCAGGCAAATTTACGTGGTTGTTATGCAATCTACAGGAGTTGCTGGACGTTCGAGACAAACAGAGTGATGGACGCTACATCGTTCAAGAGCTGCAGCGACAGGCAACCGATGTATGAACCTGACCAACCCAGTGTGCCATGCTTCTTCTTCTTGACCTGTACCACTAAGCGTTTAAGCATGAGGGCAGCTTTCTTGAGATCCGAGTGGAGTGGACTCGATGGAAGTCCTTTTACCTGCATTACTTCGATGACCGAACGACTGTAGCTTGCATGCTTCACAAACCGTGCCAAGTGATTAGCCTGAAGTATCCAAAAGTCAGAACTGCTGTTTTCCACGACTGTTCGAGCGTACTAATCGGCTTTGCCTTTATGTCAGGATTCAGTCCCTGACCCGAGCCCTGTTCACACTAATTACTCACTCGATCGTTTGCATTCGCAGGCCAGAGATGCAGCAGTGGCCATGCCTTTAAGAATTCAACGTATGGATGAAATCATTCAGAAGCTCGAAGCTGGGGACTTCAAGCTTCGTGTCCGAGTGTTGGAGGTACATTTTCCCGTCACTTAGCCTTCTGACCCACTTTGTGAAGCACTGGCATCAGCAGAAGGGTTTACAGGACTTTTACTGCCTTTTGCTGTTCGTCCCAGACGATGTCAGTGTAAACAGAGGTCGTCGACTCTTCACCTTACTCGCTGCCTGGATCCGTAGAATTCTTTGTGACCTGACAACAAGAACTCTCGTCTCTGTCGATCCTGCACAGGCCGAGAGGGCTGCCAGAAGAGCATCGATCCAGCAATCTGCCACCATGAATGTGGTGGTTGCCGCATGTCTTGCAAATATCGGAGTTAACCTCATGCTCGCCGAAGGAATGACACCGATCGCGCTGTCGCCATTCGTGGGCACTGGTAAGTCGACTTTTGCTATTCCCAGCTTCGTCGATGTTCTTTCACCCTCCAAATATCAGCAGTCGCAGTAGCCGGACCAATCCGTCTTTGTCTCGCAATTTCTATCCGTCGACTCGGCGCACATCGTGCACTGACAGACAGACAGAGACGAAGCAGCCCATGTCGTGAAGCTTGTTCCGAGGTCGGGATAGCTGTAGAACAGACATTGAAAGGTCATTAAAGCGCTCGAATCTGGCCCCTTGCAGGTATCTTCCTGGTGCTGGTTCTCAACAGTATGAGAAGGTTGAAGAACTTGGACAAGTTCGAGAAGATGTTGTAGTTTAATCTAGCAATGACAACAGTGTAGAATGTACAGATTTAGGCCATTCGTCCCACCATTGTGGGGGTGTATTTCAAGAGTAAAGCGCTGGACGCAGTGTCCGTGGGAGAAAAAATTAATTCGTTTCGAAGGATGTCACACGAGCGAGCGACACACAGCTGCGTAGCCTTGGCACCGGAAGTAGGTGAGAGGGAGTCGGGGGTGGCGGAGGTTCATTATTTCGTCGACACTCATATACGCCCACCTTTCTTACTTGAGAACGTGATTCTAGGGAGTACAGTTTTGCAGGACAAACTATTCCTCGAAGCCGATGCAATCTTTTGTTGGTGAATCGTAAATCTACTTATGCCCTTTGCGAATCGAGTGTGCCCCACCACGCTGCGTGCACATTAGCACGTAGATACGTACATCTGGAATAAATTTTGTCTTCTCGTCAAGATTTTTCCACTACGGCGTACATGGTACCCACTCTCTACCAATCAGCTCTTAAATGTGTGCTCTCTGTGACCGGTGCCCTCCCTGACCCCCGTCCTCTTTCTCTCTCTCTCTCTCTTCCCTCACACTTTACCTTCACGTGAAGAAACTCAACAAGCAGTTACAAAATCTGCGCTCTCCTATGTGACTGGTGCACTCCCTGACTCCCTTCCAGTCTCGCTTTCTCTCTGCCACCATCTCTCCCAGCCTTGAACTTACAGTAAAAGAATTTGAGCAAGAAGAGCAAATCTTCCACCGACATCGTTGACACGCATTACGAACCTCTAAGACTCGGTCCCGGATCTCTGCATGAAGTTACTGCGAACTGCAGGAGGAGAAAGGACAAGTCGAGGACCGAAATTCGGCCTCTACCTGCCTGCAGAATCACGAATTTAGCCCTGGCGACTAAAAGTGGTCAAAGCACACACAACTGTTGTCACGCCGCTCTTGTAAGCGCTCTCACCGCAGCAGCAGAGCCGAAGAGGTCAAAGCGTGCAGAACTCTCCAAATCACAGCTCACTAATGGCGTCCAGGCCACTCTCGCCCGGAAAGACAGAGAGTTAACGAGACGAAAACTCGCTGCAGCATAGACTAGCTAGCCAGCGGCCGGATTGTTGACGCCACACGTGGTCGAATTCAGCCTCGGCTCACAACAGGTCTACGAGCTCCCGGCAAGTCTCCTCGTAGCCCTTGTCTGTTGTAGACATTAATCTTTCCTACGGTCTGGCCACTGGCTAGCAGCAAGAGAAATGTACGGTTTTGTCATGGAGGAGCAGATAGATCCACTCGCTGCGTGTTTGTATGTACTCTTGGGTTTTGGTTGTTGTTGTTTTAAGTAAGAGAAGGGAGGGGAAGAATTCATGGAGTCGTACAGGCACGAAAGCGAGAGGGTAGGGGTGTGCGTACTCTACTGCTGCTGCTGCTGAGGTCTAGTACTCGAGAGGATGATTACGGCTGTGATCAGATGAGCGTAGCAGAGCGGAGCATTTAGAATTTTAATGCGGGCCTAGAGAGACCTAGAGAGAGAGAGAGACAAGGCAGATGATAATGATTTCTGAGACATGCGGTCAGAAGGTCCATAAATGAAGTCTTCCACCTGCACTGATTACCGTAGGCATCTGTTCTGACACTTGCCATTCGGGCGAGAGAAGGCAGTGAAATTGGATAAATCTCTTTTTCTAGAACGCAGGAAAAGGTTCACGTGAATCCAAAGCGCTGTTAGTTGGCTAAGGTCCAAGCTGATGGAGGCGCATGGTGTCACGCTCGACTTTTAGGCTGGGCAATGCCATTGGTGGGGACCCGGCCCGACTCAGGACAACTCAGACGAACTGGCTGGTCACCGATGTTGGATCCAGGCTTCGTTGTTGGCCTCCCACTTGGCACATGCCCGTCAGGGTGAGGCCCTCCTCCTCTCCTCCTGCTGCTGCTTCTGCTGCTCTCATTGGGAGGAATCGCTCTCACAGCGGAAGGCGGGGGGTAAATCCCTGTGGCAGGTTGAAAAAGCAGCACCGGCAAAGGGCAGCAGAGAATGTCGAATGATCTGAAAGGGGGTGCCATAACATAAAAGCAAACTCGGCTCCGAGCAGAGCAGAGCAGAGCTCAAAGCTCGAGGCCAGGTTAGTGGGAGGAAATAACCTGAGACGTATACTCAGGATCAGCCAGCCACCTCGCAGTGACAGCGAAACTCGTCAAAGATACTTGTGACTGAGGAGGAGGAATCCGGAAGCGAGACCAGTCCTCTCATGACAGCCACACGCACATCGTCGGGAGGAGGTAGGGGTTGCGCAAATCACACAGGCTCACACAGGCAGGTCGGAGATGGCGATGGCAGGTCCCACCTCGCGGATGCACCTATCGGATCTCACAGGCTGCAGATTGTTTCGGCAGATTTATAAAGTACTAGCTCTCATCATCATCATCATCTCGGCCTTCTCTCTTGCTTCAGCTGTGTTTCCACCAACACAAATACCATATAATTGCCACCGTGCCCACCACAGCGAAGGATATTCCCAAGATTATCACTACGCAGCACAGGCCCCTGGTGCAGTACCTTACCCGCATGTTGAGGGCTGCCACCGATGCCGACTCCCACAAGGTACACAGCGAGTTCAGTTGTTGGAAAAGCGAGTGCAGTAGGTTCCATCTTTCTCCGGGCATTGGGGTTAGGGCATGGGGAATTGGAGCATGACGAGTGAAATTTCGAGGGGAGGCGCGGACGAAATTGAGTTCGCAGGGTCGCGCTGAACCAGATGCGAGAAACGCGAGTCAACAATCTCAGGCCGACCCAGCCACTACTCGGGCTAAACCTGTGGCGAGTTTTTTCCTCCCTCGCATCACTCTACAAAGATTTCAGGGCCTCCTCGTCCGAAAGTCCGCATCCTCACAGATGACTGGCCTGGGCGACCAACCGCGGCTTCTCTTTCTCCGTGCCCTGCTGCTGCTGCTTCTGGCCTGCTGCATTGCCGCCATGGCCAGCCGTCCCTCCACATCCGCTGACCGACGATCCTGCCTCCACGTCCGACCGCACATCTCCTCGCGTCGCTTTCCTCCTCGCATCGACTCCACTGTTGTTGGGTGTGTCGCGAACTTGACTCGCATTCATGTCCTCCTGCTCGCCGGCCTCGCTCGCACCTCGTCCACAGCACTCATGCTCTATCTCCATCATCTTCTCTCCTCTTCAATGCGCCTCCGCCTCCGCATCCATCATCTTTTCTTCTTTTCTTCTTTTCGCTCCTCCGGCCTCCCCTCCCCAAGACTACTGTCTCGAGCCAATCAGCGCAGTGGCAGCAGAGCCCACCGCGGTCGTCGAATCATTATCAGGCGTTCCAGAAAGCATTACGAATCGCTGCCTGCTGCGAACACATGATTGCCCACTCGCGGCGCCCCACCTCAGCAGCTTCTTTCCGCTTCCTCTCGCACTGTACCTTCCATCCTTGCTCCTCTGCCAAAGGCAAGGCAAGCGGGCACGGCGAGGTCGGTCAATGTCAATCCGCCCATTGTCCGCTGAGCCATCGACAGCCCCGGGGCGGCGGATTTCGCAGTTTCGTTTGATGATTTCGCCCCAGACCCCCGCGTCTCGATGTGATCATCTCGCATCACATGCCAGTTCGTGGACAGACTCGGTAAACATAAATTCCTCGCCCGCATTTTCTATTACTTTCCAGCCCCCCCGCCCCACTCCCCATCACATCTTCTTCCTCCCATCGCTTCCTTCGCCCTCACTCCTCGTATGACGACTTTCGTCCTCGCCAATTTGCATCATCATCATCCTCCTCCTCCTCCTCCTCGCATCGATCCCGTTCCTCCTTCCTTCCTTTCTGGGCCGGAGCACGAATTCCTGTACCGATCGAAAGGCGGCTCCGGCAGTCGCTCTTGCTCCGATTCCTTCCTTTACCATTCACGCCCCTCGTCCTCTCTCTCTCTCTCTCTCGAGCTCGCTCCCCCCACGTGAAAAGAGCACACAACGCCCACCTCAACCCCTGGCCTGCCCCTCGAAGCTCGCCCGCCACATCATCGCCCTCCCGGCAACCGGCGAAACCGGAGAACCGGCGAGCCTCGTATCACGCACGCTCCCGACATCGCCTGCCCCCCCGGTCAGTTACCGGTACCGTCGGAGGCGATCGGACGGCCATCAAAACTTGTATGCTTGGAAATTTTCAACAATAAATGGCCACTTTTTAAGAAAAGTCTATCATGGTAAATGAATCTACATGATCATAAATTTCAATATGCATATCAATGATCATAAATTTCATAAACTAAAGTTTTGTATTCTCATCTTTGCTTAAATGCTTCAAACTTCCAAGCATTTCCTTAAAATCATACTAAAAAAACCGGAGAACCGGCGAGGCTCGTATCACGCACGCTCCCGACATCGCCTGCGCCACCGGTCAATTACCGGTACCGTCGGAGGCGATCGGACGGTCGGCGTGCCCGGCCAAGCGCGTCCAGCCGTAGATACGAGGGTCGAGCCGAGTCGAGTCCGGGGGTCGATGAAGGAAGACCCGGGCCGCGAGTTTGGGTGGTCTTCGAGCGTTGTTGCGGCGCGGAGATCGGGGAATCGACGGTTCGGAGAGCGCGATGCTGCCGTGAAGATATAAACACTCGAGGGAGGGTCGCAGCGACGTCGGGCTCCGAGGATGTGGGATGATTTCGGGATGCGCGAATCTACGGCTGAGGGTGGGCGACTGTGACGCCGGTGGTGTGGATTATTCGAGCCGTGATAATATTCGACGGGCGCCGCCAGATCGGGCGAGCTTCGTCGTGGACGATGGCACCGACGACGACCGGGGCGGAAGGGTGGGGTTTGTGGTCGGGGGCAGATCAAGGAGCAGGGAGTTGGTGTTGCTGGAGGGTGGGTCGAGATGATTGCTGTGAGGGATTCGAGGAGAGATTGATTATTATTCTAGTGAGGAGTCGATCGATCGAGCAAGCGAGCGGTGGATTGAAGGATGGAAGGATAGATCGAGGCGGAGAGTGCACAAGTGGGGGAGCTCGAGTGGGCCCGGGAGGGCGGGACGAAAATGGAATTCGTCGACGTGTTTATGGCAGTGCGGTGATTGATTAGAGGGTAAAAAGGACGTCGACACACTTAATGCCTGTCGCCGGGACATCTGCAGTCGAAAGGTGAGATGAAAATGTGTAATCGCCTACCGTTTTGTTGGGGTGGGGTGATGGCAATGTGAGTAGGAATAAGCTCGACACTTCGATAAGGATGCTTTTAAGGATGTTCGTGACTTAGGTCTTCACAAGATTGTAGCTTTTTAGGCCCAAAACTCAAAGAAGATATTCTGTGGATCCTTTGCGCACTTTTTTATTATAAATATTGCACGGCTGGAATATTTCACGATGATGTGCAATTAAGATGAATTCGTTCGCTTGCTCGTCTGATAATATCGAAACATGTAAGAGTTCACATTCAAACTTTCAAGAATGAAATGAAACGAGAGCCACTTCATAATGAAAATCTGAAATGTGAATTCGTCCAGTAGTAGTGTCTCTTGTGGTGAACAAGTGCATAGTTTCAGAACTGGCATGGGCGTTAAAGTTATGATGGTGACGAGTGGGACAGTAGAGAGAAGGATAAAGTAGGACTGATGTGTTTGGCTTGTCTCGCTCATTATCTACCAACTCTTTATATATAATCTCCTTTGTTGTTTTCCGTTCTCACGCAGGGGGAAGGCATGTGTTGCAGCGAATTGGGCGATTGGTGTATGAAGACTGAGATGAGACAGAGTGCCTGCCGACCACACGGGACACGCGGTAAATGCCAGGTATCCGGCAGCCGTGAGAGGATACCGGAAGGGTGAAGCCCGCGTACGTGAAGCTGCAGAGGAGACGAGGATGGCGAGAGCAACAGCAACGGCCTCATAAGTAAGGATGGAGCGGAACAGGCGGAAAGGAGAGGAAGAGGGAGAGCAATGGGAAACGAGAACCTCAAGCGCTCGAATCCTCAGGAATTTGTAAAGAAAACTGTCTTTACAGTTACAAGGGCAGCTTACGTCGGTCCGCATCCGTCAGCAGATTTATGAGGCGCGGTGAGAATAAGAAAACAACCAAAATGCCTTTGCGTAAGCGATTACGGTACATCCTTTTGGAAACAGAGTTGCCAGTGAAAATGGATTTTAATGTTTGTGGTCAAAGAGCTGCGAATGTGACCCTCTGACTGACTCCTCGATTTCCGTAAGATGTTGTCTCACTTCAAGTACAATACCGCATACTGTACAGCTCAGGGCGTTGTCGATGAAATCCATCAACCAAAATCACACCAGCCGGAGCCTCCATGGCATCTTCCTACTAGAACAGCAGTGTCCTCAGTGCCGGCCTCTGCGAAGGCAAACCACCCCTTCTTTCCCCATTCCGGCCTGCATCTTTACAAGACTGTTTTTCCCTCTGAACACAATATATAGATCTCCACAGCACCACATCAACCAGTAAAAACGCCAGCATATTCTACAGCGCAATTGTTCTTTGACTCTCTGATTGATTTAAACAATCACAACTCGGAGGTACGAGCCATACCATACATGTTCTTCGACAACCTATAAAAATCGCCCGTCCTTCACAGTTCACAGCCATAAAGTACAGCACCTAATCTTCTCCCACATTTTCACCGGTAAACGTAATTCAGTCGTACATACAATACGGTCAGTGATGTAGTGTAGACAGTCTCATCAATGCCTGCATACACAATGGTTCCGGGTCTCCGAGTCAAAAGTACCTTTCTTCTTTACCCGCCGTCTGCATCAAGCTCAACCGAACCTCCTGCATCATCGTCCAGGATTCATCTTTAGTGCAAGAGAAAGGTGAAGCTGTCCTGTTCTTCAGCACCACGTCATCGCTATGAAATATGTTCCACAGGACCTCGACCTCAAGAGATAGAAAAACCAAGTTGATCCCAACCTACTCATTCTCAGTTCCACGTCTTCTTCCGGCAATGAAGACATAGTATTTGTTTGATTCCCTCCTCCCTCACTTGTCTACTCGACTCAAAAGCCAACCTTCTGTTCCTTTTCTATTCCTCTTGTCTACAGGGTCTTTAGATGCTTCTTTCGCCTGAGAGAACAGTATCGCCAACCTTTTTTATCCCACGACCAGACGAGAGTCGATAAAACCTCCTGTTTTTACTTCTTAACATTTTATAACATGACAATCAACTCGGATCTTTTCTACGACCGTCGAATTAATCGAGATCCATGAGTATGTTGCTAGTTAGATTTGCTTGAAGGACTTGATCGGAATGATAAGTCTTAAAAACACGGACACCACTCAGTCTGATGTAGCCACGTCTATGTTCTCTTTCAATACTTGGCGTGTGAAGAACTTTCTGGTTGCCAATGTCTTCCCATTCAAAGAGAAGATTGAGACGAGGAAATGAACTGTCGCATCATGAACGGGTCCCAGATCCCTGGCCATTTTCCTCTTTCACATGGGCATCAAGCTGTCTTGATCGAAACGTCTAACTACACAGTATGTTCTGGCTCTTACGGATGAGCACATGAAACTAAAATCATCCATATTTTACTCTTATACTCACCTACTTGCCTCAGACATATGAACGCGCTTTCGCTATCTTCGGATCATTCCTGTACTTTTTTCTTCTGGGCTGTTACAGCTCATGCTAAACAGCAGACGGTGATCATGAGTTTCAATAATATATGTAATAGATGCTGCAAGGCTTCATGTTTTTCACCTCCTCATGTTTGGGATTGCTTCATGAACACTTCTTACGTTTTCTTTGTCATACATAATCCATATCATTCAATGCTGCTATCTTTTTTGTTTGATTGCGACCCTTGTTTTCTAAGCTGCACAAGCAGGAACTTGTAGATTATCGATTCAAATGTTTGAGCACCGAACATTTTATTCAAATTTCAACACTGTTTCAAACTTCTAGCAGCCTTGATTGTCTTCTCAATCCTCCAAAATTCGAGGTCTTTGCTAACAATAGATCGATCAAATTAAAATTTGTTATACACGGAGTAGTGCACCTATTGCCCTCTCATGAACCGAGCTAGGCTATCCTTTCCTTCAGCATGTCCTATAATTCCTCGATGTATCTTCCTTGAGACGAGGCATTGCGCTCCACGTGACAGTCAGCGAAATAATGCTCAGTTGCCATGATAAATCGATCGGACCTTGTTTATTCACTGTTCCACGGCACTCTGTAACTAATCTCTACATCAACCAAATCTACCTGCTTCTAACTGATTCGAATGTTTGCGGAGACTCAGAATGGAAAGAGGTGCTTACTGAACCCTCCCTGTAGTCATCATCGTTGCCCATTCTTTCTCCTTTTTCGGAACTGTTTTTCGACCTTTGCAATGTTTGCGTCATTTTTACCACTCTTCTTTCATAGGACCATTGAACACTCCATCCAGAGGATAGGACGAAGAAATCCAAGAAAACAGCTTTCCATTTTTAATTGGAACCAATGCCTGCATCCAATATCTCCTTGTAAACGTGAAGTCAATTGTAGAGATTTCCATCATTGTGTTCCTCTTTCCGAAAGGACGAGTCTATGTCGAGAACACTTATAATACTAGATACCCACAAAATATCGCTCGAGAATCTTCCTCCTGCACCTTTGCTTTTCCCATGAGTCACTCCGGTACTGCTCCTACCTGTTGGTTCTTCTGAAGTCATAATTAGTATAACAGTCATGATCCTGTCAAAAAAATTTCTACGATTTCACTGCCAGCAGTTTTAGGTAAGTAACGAAGGGATTTGTGAAGTGTGATGATGATTCCCTGCATTGGAAGTGAAGTTTAGGTCCTTTTGGAAATCTAGATATTGCATTGATATGAACTCCCTGGCAGTTTTCTGTTTGAGCATGATACCGATCATGCTTTTCGCTTGAGAATTTCATCATGCACTTTACATTTCGACCAGACTTGATCATGTCCTTGGGTGTTGTTTCCATCATGCTCTTGATACATCGTCCGGTTTCGGTCTTAAAACTAGGAAAGTTGTATATGAAGCCCAACCCTGCACTGATTTTGACAGCTGAGTGCTTGGCTCCTCCTGCCAGCACAGCTCTACTGGAAGGCATTCATCCAGGTAGGCGCATAACTCACGAGCACGTCCATTATTGATTCAGTCAGTCATTCTCTCTCTTCAACTCTCAAGTTCTGAACCGTCACAAATAGCCCTTAAAACCGTATGATAT